TCATGAAGCTTTCAACCCTTAGTCTTTGTCGCAAATATAAATCAGGCATAGGACAGAAGAGAATCGAATTGTTGAAGATGTTGATTAATAGAAAATCATGAGATAAAAAAAAATTACATAAGAAATGTATTAATGGGATTACTACCCATAGCCTCCGTCAGAATTCAATGTCTGATATTCTAGACTTCTCGCCTTTAGGACCATTGTGTCGTTAGGTGGTTAAGCGCTTTTTAAATGATTTTACTTAATTCGTTTTACGAGGCCGTGCCCGTTTAACATCTCTGAGTCTGCTCAGCTCCGATGGATACCTGGCCTCAGGCTGCTGGGCGTAGTGCTGACCACGTAATGACTTAATTTGCCTTAGGTACAGATTAACTTTATCCACACCTAGGACAGTTAGTGTAGATGATGTCTTTACTATATTCCAGCAGGTTGTTTCGAAACGAAACCTCCTTGAGTATATCATTTGTCTGCTTTATATTGTCAAAATTAATTTTTTCATATTCACATAAAACAAACATTAAACACATCTTATCCCTCCCCCTCTTTAAAATAAATTCCAGTTTGGGTTAAACGACGTGGCCAGTTAAACGTGGACGTCGATGTGGACATGGACATTAGGTAGCGACATTCTAGACACGAATTTAGAAGGGAACTGGCAAAAGACCGGTGCCGTGATTATGACCGGCAGTAGACCGGTGCCGTGATAATCACAAGACCGGCAATTGGCCGGTGCCGTGATTATAAGACCAGCAATAGACGTGCCGTGATTATAAGACCGGCAATAGACCGGTACCGTGATTATAAGACCGGCAATAGACGTGCCGTGATTATAAGACCGGCAATAGACGTGCCGTGATTATAAGACCAGCAATAGACTGGTGCCGTGATTATAAGACCGGCAATAGACCGGTACCGTGATTATAAGACCGGCAATAGACGTGCCGTGATTATAAGACCAGCAATAGACGTGCCGTGATTATAAGACCGGCAATAGACGTGCCGTGATTATAAGACCGGCAATAGAGAGGTTGCACACACGTGACCAAAACCACGTGATGTTTCATCCGCCGCCATGTTGACCGCCATGTTGATGCCCTATCGCCGGCCTTAACAACCGGCTAGGCAGTGGAGTCTTCAGTACAGTTTTGTGTTAGACTAGTTTCAGAATGTGTTCAGTGTGACGGTGAAACCGTTTAGGCCTAGCTCCACGTTATTCTTACACCACCCCTTACCTGCTCTATACTCCCCCCCCCCCCTCTATACAACTACGTACATTCCTATCTTTCGTCCCCCTCGCAGGCCCCTCTCTAGTTGGCTAGTTTGTCCACGTGACACACCGCCAATGTAAAGGCATATAAGGGGATGCAACAAAGGGATTCTCGCACTCTTCCAGGACTGAGCTCAGCTGGTGGTGTCGCACGCGGCGTTTGGGCCGTCGGCCCTACTCCTACGTGCATGGTTTTGTGTTATTTACTTCATTCATTCTATAATAACTGTATGGTTTGTAATACATATAAATAAGTATGATTCGTATGTTTAAGTTTTAAAAGTATAATAAATTAAATTGTACTATTGCAGTAACTTTGTGTTTTTAAGTAACTTATAGTTATTTGTATTTTACTACAGGCCGTAAACTGCGGGCATTGAGTTGACCCGTAGTCATCGGACCTGATATTGTATTTTATACACCGGCCGTAAACCCTTGCCAGAGTCAAGAGGTCATCGGACCAGGTTGTTATTACTTTAAGGCTGTAAACTGCGCACATTGAATTGTAGCGTAGGCATCAGACCTTCAGCTTGCCACTATTAAGTTCACTTATTATACTTATTAATATTACTGCATTAGCTGCTCAAACTTATTATTACTTTACCCTGTCCGTGACTTAGTGCACGTGACAGTTGAATACATACTGAAAATTACATTTAATTTTACTATATTCCCGGTAAAGAAGCGGCACAGACCCTCTTACCGGTTGAATACCAGCATTTTACTGATTATTACAATTAACACGGTAATAATATTACTACATTTATCTAATACCGTTAACATGGGGGCTCGTCAAACTAAATACTAGACACGAGTTAGCCACTCGTAATTGAATAAATCCTGCTGTTTCACATATCTATTTGAATTTTACTGCTATTGTTTACTTTGAATTTTTGGAAAAAATATTTCTGTGTGTTATTGCTACCTGCTCAAGAAGTATTCTGTACAACTGACGGCTGCACAAGAAGGGCAAGACCACTGGAATTGTAGCTAAGTGTCAAGTTTTAGATTTTGACTCTGACTTACTACATTGATTCCTTTAGTTTTAATTTTAAAACTGGTCTCCAATTCTTGTAGTTAACTTAGTAGTCTATTATTTGTAGAATAGGCCTACTTCTGTTAGTCTGTCGAATACTTTTCTTCTAGTTAGTTTATTGTTAGGCGTAACCCGGTACACGGCTTGAGCACACGCGTGTCACGTTACCAGTGTCAACGTCCTAGCCAGGCTGCATAATGAGTGGCTCCACTAGCATCCCCGCCCTTATCAGGTACGCCATTGACTATGGCTACGAAGGGGCGGCACTCAGTGCATTTGTTAGACAAAGATACATAGAGGACTTAGCGGACTTGCAGGAAGAAGACGGACGTAGAAGATTAGACGAGGAAGAAAGATTAAATGAGCCACAGTGGGAGGAAGAAATTAAATTACAAGCAATTAAAGTGGCTATCGAGATCAATTTCAATAATTTTGAAAGATCGGAATGGGATAGTATCAAATCAATCGAAAAACAAGAAGACGAAGTTTTAGAAAATACCAGCGTGTCAATAGCTGAAAGAATTATTATTTGGAAGGGACGTATAAATAGAAGGACCGAAACGGAATCACGCTTAAAGATGGCCGAGCAGGCAATGCTTGAGCAGCTGAAAAACATGACCATATTAGGACCTAAACCAACACCCGCTACTCCCTACACACCAACCCTGCCACAGGCAGAAGATAACACTCATGATGCTACACTGAGCCATAAAAGCGACTTCGTTAAAATTACTTCCCCTGCCCCGACTGAATCATCAATAAACACAGCACCGGATGCTCCAGTCGACCTTAATTACACAGCACGTCAAGAGCCCAGGAGACAAAACAACAAACCAACCACTGTCAACCTTATCGGCCCCATGGTTCTACCCACCATAGGTCTACATACTAAACCTCACCAGCCCCTCGCTAATGGAAAAAAATTCGCCGACAAGAGGAGGATCGCTCTCGGTCCTGAATTACCTGTCGCAGCTATACAAGGGGTAGATAATCAACAGAGCAAGTTACAATTATCACCCTTAGCACCAAAAACTGGTTCTCGCCCTTGCGGACCGAATCAGACTTATCGTCCCCAACTAACAGCACAGTCAATTACTGCGTACCTGGTTGTCATACTTCTAAAACAGAACTTAGCGTTAGTTAATTTCCTGAATACAATGTAAACTTATACTGAAAAAAATGTCATTATTCACTGTTGTCTTATTACACTTTACATCCACAACAAAATGTTTGTTTACTATGCCCTTTTATGGCATATCACAATGTTGTAATTGATGTTGTACTCGCCTATCATGGCAACTGTATACACATTTTTCATGTCAATGGCCTATGTTTCAATGTTATTCACTTTTCGTCTAAAGACATTGTTATTTACATTTTTTGCTTAACTATACTTTGAAAGACACATGAAAAGATATTGTTTTATTTCTGGTCCGCTGAAAATTGCGTTACCACGAAATTTTAGCGAGGAAAGGGGGTGTGACGGTGAAACCGTTTAGGCCTAGCTCCACGTTATTCTTACACCACCCCTTACCTGCTCTATACTCCCCCCCCCCCCCTCTATACAACTACGTACATTCCTATCTTTCGTCCCCCTCGCAGGCCCCTCTCTAGTTGGCTAGTTTGTCCACGTGACACACCGCCAATGTAAAGGCATATAAGGGGATGCAACAAAGGGATTCTCGCACTCTCCCAGCACTGAGCTCAGCTGGTGGTGTCGCACGCGGCGTTGGGGCCGTCGGCCCGACCTCCACGTGTTTTTCTGGGTTTGGTTTTACTTAGTTATTTCTTACTTTTACTTAACTTTACTTTTTATATGCATAATTGATTAACAGTGTATCAAGGAGTTTTAATAAATACCATATATAGATATTATCTTGCTGTCATGTATTTTTTTCATAAACACTATACATTGTTACTTTACATTGTGCTAGTCGATGACTTACCTGAATTACTTAACTTTACACTGCCCGTGCCTTAGCCCACAGGGCATTTAAATACTTATCTGACCTAAACTATTCCTGCCTGTGATGTAATTCCACGTGGCAGTTGAGTAGATATTTGTTACCTGCTGTACTACTTTTATCCTGCACGTGTATCAGCCACGGAGCAGTAGATATATATCATACACAGCCTCATTCTATTTTACTACAGGCCGTAAACTGCGGGCATTGAGTTGACCCGTAGTCATCGGACCTGCTATTTTATTTTATTAACCGGCCGTAAACCCTTGCCAGAGACAAGAGGTCATCGGACCTGGTAAGAACCAATTATCATTTTAATAAGGCTGTGAACTCTGGGCATTGAATTGACCCTTAGTCATCAGACCTTAATAATATTACCTCTAGTTATACAATACTAGAATCTATATTCCCGGTAAAGAAGCGGCACAGACCCTCTTACCGGTTGAATACCAGCATTTCACTGATTTTACTATTATATCTATTATACGGTACCAAATATTTATCTTTTACCGTTAACATTCAGCTTATGTTAAAAGCCTCGCACCTACCGGGCAAGAACAATACATTAACAAAATTGAACTTTTATGCATTGAAGATCCGTATCTTATTAGTGATCAGCGTAAACTTGTAGATGATTTCTGTATTTGGGATTTGGCCAAAAATTGAAAACATGGACATAGTGAACTATTTTGTGTTTTCGACCAACAAAGTTACACAGGAACAGATGAGAAACTATAAAAGCATGAAGTCCTATGTATACTTTACGGATGGGCTTGTGTCCCAAATAAAATGCAGAGAATTTGGAAGCAAAGTCGTCGTTGTTGCCAAAGTAAGTCAATTCGATTCTATACTAATACTCTAATTAGTAATTACTAATTACTAATACTAATACTATATAATCTAGATCTAATAGACTAAATATTATGTCTTATGATGTTTACCTAAATATTTAAATGACTTAGGGGTAAGCAGGGTATAAGTATAAGGCAGGTATCCCACTTTTTAAGACCTGTCCATTTTTTTGGATTTTACTAATCCAATATTAATAATATAGATGATTGTTCTAAACCATTCTCACATAAAATAAACACTAATTTTACATTAAATTTGGTGACTTGTTCTGCTCAGTGGTAGTTGATGGCAACATTTGGTATGGGTTTACCATGCTTAAAACCATGATGGTAAACCCATGATGAGCCCATTCATAAAATAAAAAAATCAAATAGAAAATTAGTACCACTATAAGGTACCAAACTTTTTAGGACCTGTACATTTTGTTGATTCTAATAATCCAATGTTTTCTAGCTTGAATTATTTTTCCTTTTAATCAGCTGCAACAGTTTGATTTGTGTTTATGTTATAGCCTCAATTTGTTAATTAATACTTGTCTTATTTTGCAGGTCAAGCATTCACTGCTGTGGACAAGTGTGTGGTTGAGATAAAGTGTCCTTCATGCACTAAGGAGAAAATGTTGAGTGACATATCCAATAAGGAGGCCAAAAACCTTGGTCTGGGACCAAATAAACAATTAAGTAGCACACACCGCTACTACTATCAAATCCAGACCCAAATGGCAGCTACCAAGTCTTCATATGCTGATTTTGTCATATGGACAACAAAAGATGTTCACATAGAAAGAATTTTTTTTGACAGTAATTTGTGGTCAAGCATCTCTGTTAAGGCAGCAGAATTTTTTCAGAAAATTATATTGCCTGAACTCTTGGCATGCTATTATACCAATAAAAAGGCATCTGGCATTACTAAAGCTGTTGGCTTACCACTGACAAAAAGAAATAAGCCTACTCTGAATAAGTTAAAATAAAAATGAAATATGAAATGTGTTTTTATTTTTTATTAAATATTAAAATACAACCTGGTAACAATAAATTGTGCTGACAACAATAAATGGCATTTTTAAATACTCAAATTAATCAAAAGGCACAATAGCTGGACAAAGATTAATCAATGCACAACAAGTGATCACTATATCATCTATTAAAGGATTGCCCTTTTCATTTAAATAATCCAGTGGTAAAGTGTCACTTAGAATTTTGTATTTTTGTCTAACTGACCCAATAACCCTTTCTACATGAATCCAAACATTTGCAATCTTTCTTGTCTCAGCCACTTCCAAAGCTGATAGTTGTTTTTTTCCCTTTGTAAAAGCAGGAATAGCAAGCTTTGCACAATAAAGCCCAACACTATCTGCTATTGTAAATCCCCTATCAGCCAAAACTAAATCTCCAGTTGAAAGTTTGTTTAAAATGCCACAATTTTCTGTTAAATATTTATCACTAACCCTACCACCCCAAGCCTTAGATATAAAAGATATAGTACATTGTGGAGTGATGCCTATAAGAAATTTAATGGTATTGTTGTGTTTATATTGTGACCAGGTGATTGCTCTAGCAGCTAGACTTGATGGTCTGTCAATAAAAATTTCAAAACAATCAATAATAACTGCTGTGTTTGCACCAAAGGAACGCTTGAAACAATTAGGCATAGTTTTTTGTATGTCCTCCCTTTCAGGCCACACTATAAATTGTCTAAGGTTGTGAGCCATATGGCGAACCCATTTCTCAAAAATTCTGCTGGCTGTTGACAGTGAAATTTTAAATCTATATGACAGATCTCGCAGTGGCAGACTAAGCCTTAATTTCATCAATGTTAGCACAAATTCCTGAAACTTGGTGAGGTAATTATTGTGGTTATGATTTATAGTGCCACTACTGCTATTGAAAATAAGCATCAGTACACCATAAGAATGAATACCTGTGTAGAATTTGACTTTATCATCGTCATTAATGAAAGACTCTGGGGTTAGCTCAAAGCATAATACTTTTTCACGAAGCAAATAATTCTCACACCTTAACTGTTGCATCTCAAAAAAAAGAGAATCTATATTGACACCAATGCTGCTAGTGATAGTTTTTGTGCTATCCTTTGCATATTGATGACTAATAGCCAATTGGGAAGTGTTGATTGTCTGAATATTTGCCATATCTTTACCCATATCCACTGGGGAAGTGTGGTTTGTTTGATTATTGAAGCACTGAATATTTGAACTACCTTCACCCATATCCACTGGGGAAGTAATGGTTGAATTACCTTCACCCATATCCACTGGGGAAGTAATGGTTGAATTACCTTCACCCATATCCACTGGGGAAGTATTGGCTGTTTGATTATTGAAGCACTGGATATTTGTTGAATTGCCCAATGGTAGTACCAAAAGGGCCTCTGCAGCTTCATAAGCACGTTTCTTTGCTTGTCTCTCTAATGTATGTGTGTGTCTTTCGACTGATAACTTCACTTTTGCCATAGAAATATTATCATGTCCAAGGAACAGAGTGGGAGCCCAGTCAACATTTGTTTCATCTCTGAAGTTTTCTGGTCTACCTGGATAAATAGAATATTTTTTTAAAAAGACTACACGTGAATAGAAGGCCTACTTTTAAAAAGCTTATCCAAATATGAGAAATATGACTAACTATAATATATATAATATGTTATTAATAATTACTAGACTCAATATGATATACAGTTTAAAAAATAAAGTTATATTTAGTCTACTAGATCTATTACTAACTATTCTTTATTTAATCTGATAAAATATTTAGAATCTAGTGTAAATTTTGTAAAGTTAATTTAAGTAATAATTGGTTAATCCTAGAGTTCTATGTCTGCCTAACCTAGATCTAGAACTAGTGTAACCTGTGACCCAATAAAATTATTTATGCCGTAATAGTAAAGTGATTAGGCTTAATATATTTTATTAGTGTTTATGAGACTATAATTAGTTAAATAATAATTAGACCCTAGTTTATACGTTTCAGTACTAGATCTAGTAGTAGTTGTAGATAGAGTTTAACTAGATCTAGCTACCCAGCTAGGCCTTACTCTAGACGTCAATATGAGTATGGTAAAATACTAAAATAATATATAATATATAGGCCTATATCGAATATATCGAATATTGACTATATATATTCACGAGACTAGACTCTAATACTAATTACGTTTTATAACTTTCGATATATTTGTATTTGCGATGACCTAACATTTTATTATAGGTAAATCATTTAACTCTTTACCTGAAACAAAGTGTCGAGAACAGATCCGCATGTTGTTTGCAGCTGCTTCACTCACACCGCTTCGGTAAATATTGGCCAAAAATGTACGACGTCTGCGTTCTGTTAACTGCCGATCTGTTTCACCTTGGTGTAATATAACTTTAGGCAGTCGAAATAAAGAAACGCCTTTACAATTTCCATAGCGAGAACTAAAACCTTTCACAGCGCAGACCACCATTTTGAATGTAGACCCAAAATGGCGGACGTTTACATGGTTACAAATCCATGACATCACGTGCAACCTCTCTATAGGCCGGTGCCGTGATTATAAGACCAGCAATAGACTGGTGCCGTGATTATAAGAACGGCAATAGACGTGCCGTGATTATAAGACCGGCAATAGACCGGTACCGTGATAAATCACAAGACCGGCAAAAGACCGGTGCCGTGATTATAAGACCGGCAGTAGACCGGTGCCGTGATAATCACAAGACCGGTAATAGACCGGTGCCGTGTTTATAAGACCGGCAATAGACTGGTGCCGTGATAATCACAAGACCAGCAATAGACGTGCCGTGATTATAAGACCGGCAATAGACGTGCCGTGATTATAAGACCAGCAATAGACCGGTACCGTGATAAATCAAAAGACCGGCAATAGACCGGTGCCGTGATTATAAGACCAGCAATAGACTGGTGCCATGATTATAAGACCGGCAATAGACCGGTACCGTGATAAATCACAAGACCGGCAATAGGCCGGTGCCGTGATTATAAGACCAGCAATAGACTGGTGCCGTGATTATAAGACTGGCAATAGACCGGTGCCGTGATTATAAGACCGGCAATAGACCGGTGTCGTGATAATCATAAGACCGGCAATAGACCGGTACCGTGATAATCACCAGACCGGCAAGAGGCCGGTGCCCTGATACCTATGAAACATTTGGCCTTGAAAAAGGCATCCCGAGGCAAAGGCTTAGACCCCAGCACTCACCTACACAAACAGGCAACTGATTATTGAGACTTGATATATTTCTTTTTAAAATTAAATTGGACACTGATATATCAAAACTCAAAAAATAGCAAATTTAATTTAGTTTAAAGCATTAGGGGCCTACACAAACTAACAGCTAAAACTAACAAATAAAAGTAACAACTAAGTGTAACGACTAAAAGTTGCAAAAAGAAAAAAATACCAATTGAAATACCAACTAAAATTAACAAGTGATATTTGTAACAAAAATACTCGGCCTAACACAAAATAACACAATGTGAGTTATTATCAACGTATGGATTGGTCAGATGGTAGAACTTTCGATTGAAAACCCAGACGTCTTGAGTTCGAATCCACCCTACGCATCCTGTGTAAGGGCGGGAGCTCGAGGAACTCTCCATACACAGTCTAACATACAAATAATCAAGTTTAATTAACAAATAATTAATTTTACATATATTAATATGTATTTAGTGTGTTTATTTTGTACCTACATGTCTTATATCTGGATTATGAATTTCGTTAATCTTCTGTCAAATCTAGAATGATAGTTTAAAATGTCAACATTTCTTTAATTGACAAAAATTGACAAAATCGAATTTATGTATTGATTTATGTATTAAAAACAACTTAAAATATTTGATTTGAAAACCCGAAAATCAGTTTATAAAAAATATTACATGACTATCAAGCATCAATCATATACTTTTACATTCACGGCAAATGGATATTATGAGTGGCAAAGCGACACAACTTTGTGTATTGTTTTTTACTTTCTCGTATATACGAAGTATAGAGAAAGTATTGTAATCGTGCAAAAAAAAAAAATCGAGATTTTTACAGATCTCGACGTTTTACACCTCACTGATACGGAAAAACATAATTTTGCAATCTTGTCCGTATGTCTGTGTGTGTGTGTGTCTGTGTGTGTGTCCGTGTGTAAACACGATAACTTGAGTACCGTTACAGCTAGGTTGATGAAATTTCACATATAAGTATTATATCAAAATCGTAGATCCGTATCAACTTTTGAGCGATTTCCGATAACCGGAAGTGGTACTTTTTCTACTTTGAATTTTTCAAAAGCCTATAACTTGAGTACTATTTCAGATAGATAAATGAAATTTCACATGTAAGTAAAAGATCTAATTCTCTACCTTCTGTTAAATTTTGAGTAATTTCCGTTGACTGGAAGTAGTAATTTACGCTACTTCCGATTTCTCAAAAAACTAATGTAAATTTTAAAAGTACTAATAATATTGCGCACTATTATGCGCTTTTTTATTGGTCGTTCACTTGGTGTGCAATTAATTTGTCTACGAGATTTTATTCTATTTTTACAAGCTTTTATTACAAGCTTTTATTTAACTCACTTCCTCGTCAGTCGACAGTCGACAGTCTGTCTGTCTAGACGGAAACGCAGGAGTGAAAATTCGGACAGTTCTACTTGACCGACACGATTCACAGTTGGCACATGGGTCAAGACATGAAGACAATGCAATCTGAAACTAAATTTGACTTAATTGGATGCCTAATTGATTTTTTATGAATTAATTAAAATTTGGACCGAATTAGTAGGCATGTCTAGCCAACCACACCACACGCGTCATCAATAGCTGCGCCATCACGACCACGTAATGGCTGCGTTCAAAAACCATTGCGCGCCTACTTAACGTGATATTCAGAAGGCGCGCAATGGTTTTTAGTCATGTAACTCTATTGTAGATAAAACATGTAAAGTACTGAAAAAAAAATTCATAAAAAACGTTTTAATAACAAGCTTTTATGTAATGATGCACTAAAAAGTAGAAAATAAATTATAGACTACTATTTAAATAACTATAAAGAAAAGCGTGGGTGTCTTCCTTAACATTAGTAAAGGTATCCAATAGATACTAAAGTGACCCA